GGTGGGGTTGGCATAGCAGGAGTCCACACAGAAACATGACATAATGGACAAGGCCGCCAGGAGAGCGTGGTGGGGGGGACAAAGAAAGATGAGGACTGAGTATAGGATTTGTTTTTTAACCAATGGGTTCTTTGCAGACCTGGGCTTTGGCTCTGGCCCCACTCAGCTGTACAGGTGACTCTGGGACAGTGCCTTCATCTCTCTGAGTATTTGCTTTCTCATGTTTAAAGGGAGACATTGAACTGTGACTTCCAATCCCCATGCAACTCTCATGATCCTCTGATTCCCGCTTAATGAGTAACAATTACCGTCAGCCCGACAACTCGCCTTTACTGTCCCTACCTGCAGCTCTGGTGATTAGGGCGCCTTGGGCACCTTGTACAACTTACAATCCAGTCACACATAAATAACAAATGTCGGTGTGATGAAAATGTGTTGTGCTGTCAGAACCGCCCCCCCCTCGGGGGTGGGGGGATATGGGCAGGGTGAGATTCCAGTCCTAGTCACCCTTCTGGTCCCTGGTCCAGCTCAGCAACATCATTTTCAGGGATGGTCATGTCAGTCCCTTATCACTCTGAGAACTCCAAACCCTGTCACATGAAGCCACCGAAGAGTCCCCAGTAATCTGCTGCTGCCTCCCCCAGGCCGACTCCAGTGTTACTCACTCAGCCTTTCACAACGCCAGGCTGCCAAAAGCCTGGGTCATAACTGTGCAGCGTCTCCAAGGACACTGCTTTGAGGCATCTGTGCTGAAAGAAGCGCTGCCTCTCCTATAAAACAACGTTTTGTTTTCCCAAATTGCACTTTTTATCTTGGCTACCAGGAAGCTAAAAGCTACACTAGAGGCTTAACTACAGCATCTTGGCCAAACCTGTCACCAGCATGAATTCATCCTTCCTTCACGTGCTTTTAGCTTTCCATGTGTATTTTTAACTGCACTGCATTGAATCTGAATTTTAATTTGATCAGTAGTTTGGGTCATACTTCCGTGGCCAATAGTTTACAGCTCATAAAGCATCTCCGATCTATTTTAGAATGAAATGTCTTTGTCTCTATTTATATAAGTATATACATGCCTTGTGGAATGTAGAGTGAAACAAAAGTGTGATAAGAAACGATTGGTTAGATGTCATAAGAGAAGCAATTTGCTAGAGAATTATTAAGCATGTAGACGGGAGCACTGAAAAGAGGTCTGGAAGGATAAGCAGAGTTTGTCAGCAAGGGAAGGAAGAGGGTACCACAGCTGCACAAACAGCACAGGACAGGCACTGAGGCTGAAGAGGCAGGGTATGCACAGCAGTATGCCTGGGGGCTGGGGGACAGCCGAGGAAGAGAGAAGAAGCTGAGGGAAACAGAGGAGGCTGAGGAAAAAGGGATCATGATAGCTGGAAGTGGAACTTCCATGACCTGTCTTTTATAATGCCCCCCTTTGCTCCGATATTCTAGAACACTCAGCAGTCATTAATTTGAGCTCTCATACATTCTCCTGTCACCCACCTGAGTGGGCAGAGCAACCTCAGTGCTCTTTGACTGTCTCCTAAGAGCCTAGTATCTGAGCAACGGATGCTCAGTGGACACTTCCTGGGTGATTCAACACGGAAGGGCTGGGTAAGATGCAATGCCAGGGCTTTCCACCATGAGTGTTTGGAGACGGAGAAGAAAGAACAGCCTCATAGGCGCCTTTGTCCACGGTGATGGAACACAGGAAAAGCTTAGAGAATGCAGAGCGAGGGAAGATGTGGGTGTGGCCACTCAGTCTCTGAGATACTGATATCAAAGGGTTTGAACCGATTGTTTTAAAAGCCAAAACTAAAATGTTGGAAAAAAAAAAAAAAGAGTTGTTTGAAGAGCTCAACATTTTAGCACCTATTTTAGGGAATAAACAAAAAGAAAAATCTTTCAAAAATGCTATAAACTGCTAAAACCAGAGGTCTTATTGCAATTGTTCAGCATTTCGCAACATTTAAGAATGTCATGAAGACTGTGACCTTGCCCTCCTCTGTAGCTGCACACTCCATTAGCACATCTTGGTATACAGCACCAATAATGAAATAGCAGCCTCGATTCCACGCACTTCTGAGAATCACAAAGGCATGTCGGCCGGTCGTGGTACACGCCTTTAATCCCAGTACCTGGGAGGCAGAGGCGAGTGGATCTCTGTGAGTTCAAGGCCAGCCTGGTCCACAGAGTGAGTTCCAGGACAGTCAGGGCTACACAGAGAAACCCTGTCTCAAAAAACAAAACAAACACAAACAAACAAACAAAGAAGAATCACAGAGGCACACCATCACACAGAGGACACTGTCCTTGACGGCAGACTCTCGGCTCCGTATGTAGTGGGAATTCACTGTTTCGACACACTGGCCTGTGGCCACAGCCTTGGAAACACCGGGAAATCAGACTTCTGAGTTAAACCTACTAGATTTGGGCTGTTGTTAGGAACCGAGAACAGGAGACAGCGCTGTTTGGGGACTTGGTGCCATCTGTCACAGCGGAAATCTGAGCTGACACAAAATGGAGCTGAGGAATGATCTTTTCCCAGACTACAGACACAGAACAATCATTCTGGGTTTCAGTCAACACATTACCTGAGCTGTTCAGCACTTCATTACAAAGTGGGCTTTGGTTTGATGATTTTGCCTGTGCAGGTGTTCCGAGCAGGCTTAAAACAGGTGAGGCTAAGCTAGTATGTCTACTAGAGGAGTGTAGTAAATGTATTTGTTACAAACAGTATCTCAATAATGAACTCATTGCTATGCAATCTCATAGCTAGTACAGGAATGCACACATGTTCATGTTTACACGGATACCATGTGTACCACACATGTCTCCTTTGATGTTAAATTCTCCATTTTGTCCACACACCTCATTCCTTGACTCTAAAGTTGAGTCCATCCTGCTTTTGAATATGTCTGTACATAGGATATTTCTTCAATTCATTTTGCCACAAGAAGCAGTGTAAATATACCTGATCATGGTATATCCATCACGAACATGCCTATGGTTACCCCTCATGAGTATTTTCTGAGCTTCTTAGCTCCTGAGTGGGTCTCAAGGTCAAAATTAATGGAATAACTTTTCAAAATGAACTCTAACTCTAACAGTTCTAGAGTGCAGAGTTGCCAAGCCCTGCATTTGAACTCAGTCTCTGTCTCTGTCTCCCTCTCTGTCTCTCCCTCTCTCCCTCTCCCTCTCTGTCTCTCTCTGTCTCTCTCTGTCTCTCTCTCTCATCTCTCTGATATGAATGTCAGCATGTAGTGATGGAAAGATCAAATGCTTGAAAGTAGTTAAGGCTTCAGTTCACATTGTTGGGTACCAGGCACTGCATCTAACCAGCAGGAGTTCCAGGAGCCAGTCAGACTCGGGTCTGGTGATTTCAATGTGTAGAGCTCTCCTCACCCCAAAGGTGTCTGAATGAGATGTCTAGAAATCCTGTGCTGCTGCTAAAGGGATAGATAGAATAGCTGCTGTGTGTGTGTGTGTGTGTGTGTGTGTGTGTGTGTGTGTGTGTGTGTGTTCATCTGTGGACATGTGAACACACATACCTGGAACTTGACCAATAACTGAAAAATTCACAACTTGCAAAATCATCCACAGCTCACTCTCTTACCAACACCATTAACTGAATAACTGCCTACATTGGCATGAAGCAACCCAAAAAGGGGACAGCTGAAAGAAAGCTTCCTTCAGAATGAAGAAACAGCCCTCTACCCAATGCCAACTGGAGCCCATCTGCAGAAGCCTCCTTTGGTCTGTCCAGCCAGCACTGAACAAGTGCCTATGAATAAGACCCGCTGACACTCTGACTTGACCAGACTGATTCTTCACCTCATTTCCCCATGTGGAACGACCAAAGACTGGCCTCACTAGAAAAGACTTTGATAACATTAAAGCACCCCGATGATATCTCAGAAATACAAGATGGCCCAACGCAGCACCACCCGTCATGATTCTACAAGACAAGATGGATGTTTCAGGCAGGCCTCTGCTCAGCTTGGTCCTCTATCTTACTTGATTAAGACTTTGTTTGCCCCAGATGAAGAAATGAAGTTTTAAGGAGGAAGGCAAAGAGGCAGGTGGGCTAGGGTGGGCTCCCCTTGGGTTTCTACTTCCTCCTATTCACATCCGGCCATGCCCCCCTTGTCCTTCTATCCACATTCTCAGTCTCCGGTGTAGCCGGCACACATAAAGAACAGAGTCCATGAGAACTGCCCCCATGCGAAGGCACATTGGCAAGCAAGGTGACTTCGGAGCATGCAGCTCAGTGGATGCTGAGTAAAGCCAAATGGATGGTCTGAGTATATGCCACCCATCTTCAAACAAATATCTGGAGGAGTTCTGGCCCATGGGACCGCCACCGCTATGTCCCCTGACAGTCTTACTACAGGCCTAAAGGAGGACCCCGGTGGTGGCCTGATAACAGAGTCATCTTTCTGGTCTGCTGGAAGTCTTGTCGTGACATACCTGAAGGGACCCCCCACTTTGGTGACACATTTCGTAGGCCTGTATTTGCATGAGTCTCTGCATGCTGAACTCCCCTGCTTGGAAGATGACAGAGCAAGGGGGGGACATGACACCACGGGGGGTTTGGTCCTGCTTACTGCTGCTCTTCACAGAGATGCGCTGAGCTGGACACTCGAGCCGGGGACCGTGGAGCTGACGCAAGCTTTGCCACGCATACCCTTGACCACTCCGACAAGGAGTGTGCCAGCAGCTAGACCTCCTTTGTCCTACCTGTCCTTGGTTAACACCCAGAGTGCTGACATGTGCCAGGCAGTACGGCTGGCCCTGGAGAAGGTGCTCACGTCCTCGTGAGAGAGGACGATAAGGATGAAGGAAGGAGACAGACTGGGGCTGAGGGACAGGGGTGAAGCAGAGAGCAGCCCCAGGCAGGAATGCTGGGCCTATCGTCCCTGACAGAGATGTGTGGAAGACAGAGATGGCCATCTTTCCTGGAAGGAATTGTTGGTTAACCAGAGCGAAACTCCAAGGCCTCTGACCTGCAGGGACGATCACTCTGCGCTCGTTTGTGGTCATGTTGGGGGGTGGCATGTGCTTCTCCTCCATGTAGCTGCCGTAGCTCATCCCCACAGTATCAGGGCTGCCCACCATCTTCCCACCTTTGCTCACACTGCATTCATCGGGCGAGTTCCTGTGGGAGGAGAAGACAAATCCTTCTGTTAGTAGGGTACACAAGGAGCAGGGCTCGGGACTTGTGATGTATGGAGGCGTCCAGTGAGAGGCGATGTGGGAAAGACTGTGAAAGCATTAAAAAAGTCAGAATATTGTGGTGCCCTGAATTCACATGTTGAAGCTATAAACCCCATGTGGTGGTATAGAGATGTCACCAGATTTAGCCCAGGGCATGAGGATAGAGCCAGTAACAAAAGGATGAGGGCAAGGTGAGGAACTGGGGGGTCGGCTCAGTGGGTAAATCATCTATGCAAACATAAAGATCTGAGTTGGATCCCCAGTACCTACTCAAAAGCCCGGCATGGGGAATGTACACCCACGGTCCTGGTGTTGCCCAGACAGTCTAGCCCATCGGTGAGCTTCATGCTTCAGGAAGACACTTTGTCTCAAATACTAAGGTGGAAAGTGACTGAGAAACACACCAGACTCTGAACTCTGACCTCCGCTGGCACACACATGAGTGTGCATACCTGCACACACATGCACACACACACATGTACGAGACCAACAAATATGAAGAAAGCAGAAAAGAACCTCCCCCCCGACCCGGCCCCTCACTGCTCCACTCCCTCCACGTGAGGATGCAGCCACCTCTAACCCATGGAGAAAGCCCTGGGGTTAGAGGACACCTTGACCTTGGCTGCCCCATCTGCAGAACCATGAGTGAAGTGTGCCTGTTGCCACGGCTCGGCAGCCTGCATTGCAGTCTGAGACCACGCTGGAGCCCACGTTCGGGAGAAACAGAACACGCAAGTGGGAAGCCAAGCTGCTGTCTGGCTTCTGTTTTGCTAGGCAGCTCCTTCTGAAACTGTCATGTCCAGACTCCCTCTGCGACACCTGGCTGGGAACACTCACGGGGAACAGAGAGCTGGTGTACACTCTTGCCCAGTGACAGGAAGCAGGGCCAGCAGGACAGACAGACACTGGGGCCCGGGCTGCTCAGCAATGCTCTCCTGGGGTGATGCTTCTTCTGAAACCTCAGTGAAAATCCCTTCTTGGATTCCCATCCCTGTGCCAAACCCAGGATCTGGAGTGCTGAGGACGCGTGGTGATGGGGGCCGAGGCACAGCCAGGAAGCTAGAGAAGGTGGGGACTGAGGTGAGGGAGGTGGTTGAAGAGGAGAGCCCAGCGGCCTGGGAGAACTCAGGAAGTGACCTGAAAATGGCACTGTGTTTGAGATGAGTTGTTCCCCACTGACCCTGGGAACAGGCCACAGGAACCATTAGTAAGGCAGTCATTGTCTTTGCAAAGAGACAAACATGCCTTTCTAGGAAAAAAAAAAAGTGTGTGTGTGTGTGTGTGTGTGTGTGTGTGTGTGTGTGTGTGTGTGTGTGTGTAAGTAAGTGATGTTTGAGAGCCATCAGAATCAGGCCTCATAGGTAAACATCAAGTAAGAAAACCAGTTTAGGGGCTGGAAAGACAGCTCAGCAGTTAAGGGCACTTGCTGCTCTTGCAGAGAATCCAAGTTCAGTTCCCAGCACCCACATGGTAGCTCCCAACCATCTGCAACTCCCACTTCAGGAGATCCAAAGCCCTCCTCTGACTGCTAAAGGCATCAGGCATGCACAGGCAAACGTGCATGCAAAACACACATACACATAAAATAAAATACATATTTTCTAAAAAAGAAGAAGAAATTCACTTTCATCAGAGAATGAAGAACAAATGGCTGTCTCCTCAGATGTGAGCCCACAGATGATGGCTAGCCCACAGATGGATAACCCTGGATCACCAGAGCAGTGGTATCTCTACATTCTGGCTACATTAACCAAAGTAGAATTTTGGAAGCATCTCTGAAACTCTACCCAGCACATGGATTCGCTGTGGTTTGGTTTCCATTTTCCGTATTCCTAGAAATCTTAGACACCCCAAGGACTCTTTAGATTTTTAATCTAGTGTTGAAATTCCGCCTCTACAGGGCTTTGTTTGTCTCCTCTGAGGCTTTCCAGCTTCAGCTTTGCAGGTAACCTGTAGAGCCACAAAACTTCAGGCTGGCCATGGACTTGACCTTCGAATCTGAGAAGGGCAAAAGCACCTAAGGCGGGTGTGCAGGGCTACTTTATGAGCAGGACAGAACTGAAATGGAGTAGTGAAATCCATTCCTCACCCAGAGGCCTTGGCGGAACTGTGGACAGGAATGCCTGGCTGAGGACCCGGTGCCCAGGAAGAGTTTACACAGTATCCAGGGCTTCGAAATAGATATTTCTCCTCAGCCTCACTTGCCAATGCATCCAGAACCACAGAGGAGCTCAGAGCTGGCACCAAGGAGATGGCACCAAGCTCTCTGAGCAGGTAACGCCAGCGTGACACCCCGAGGTCCTCGCAAGGCCTGGGAACACACAGCCTGTCTTGTAGAATACGCACAGCTGTACTGATACAAAGGCAATTTAAGAATAACAACTGTCCACGTTCCCACGGAGCAGGGCCTGTGTATTTCCAGTGCTGTCTACACATGCATGATTTCTGCTTGATGCTATAATATTTTCCTGGCTTCAAATGTTTATCTCTATGAGACTCATCCTAATACCAAACCCCACAGTATCTTTGCTTGAGACAGAGTTTCCTAATCCTTTGGAAAAATCCATCAACCTCGTGCGGTGTGAATGTTCTGGTGTATTTGTCTCAAAGATACTTGGGAGAGAGAAGTTAAGCATTTGGAGGAAAGTTTTTTGACAGTAGATGGTACCCAGGGCATGAAAGCAACATCAGAAATGACTGTAAAGTTCAAATCACTTGCTCATTCATTTAGGCAACTTATAGAGCACCTACTGTATACCAGGCACTGGCAGTTCTTTCTTATCCAGCAAAGGAATTAATCACCTGAACATCAAGGGCCCGAAAGATGTGGCATCTGGGGTTTAACCACCTCTTTGTCCATCATCACCTGAGTGTGTGCGAGTGTGTGTGTGTATGTGTGTGTGTGTGTGTGTGTGTGTGTGTGTGTGTGTGTGTGTGTATGTGTAGACCTATGAATGCCGTTGTGAGCATAAGGAGGCCAGAGCACAGCCGTGGGTGTTGGTCCTCACCTTCTTCCTTATTAATTGAGATAGGGTCTCCTATTGTCTACCACTGAGTATATCAAGCTAGCTGGCCCTGAAGTTTCTTCGGAGTCTCGTATCTGATCGCCCCACATTGCTTTACAAATACTAGAACACAAACACACACACATACACACACACACACACACCCTTGACCCTCACTTAATCCCTGACAGTTTAATTTTCCTAGCTGAGGACATGAGCTCCATACATGAATTTTTAGAGCTTTTCTATGAAATGAAGGAAACTCCCCCCCTCACCAAATCTGGATATAATGGGTTGCCATGTTGCATTTTGCCAGTGTGTGTGCCAAAAACTATATATAACTATTTAAAATACAGCCAAAGCCAGAGAGAGTAGATGTTGAAACATGAGGATTAGGAGTTTGGGGCCAGCCTGGGCTATGTAGTGAGACTCGGTCTCTAAACAAGCAAGCACACAAAGACAACGTAGGCAGCCTTTAGCAAAGTTTACTCTGTGTTCATTTCATAAGCTCAGGCATAATTCATGTTAGTGAGTTTCTAATCTCATCCTTCACCATAGAAAAGACCAAAAGGAAACCAGTAGACCCATCTTCAAAACTTCTGTCTCTAGAATAATAGATAAAATACATGATGTTTTATCCTATTCTATTTAGTTATTAAAAGAAGAAGAAAGGATGGAGCCATGATTCTGAACATTATAACTTTTTCAATAACTAAAGAAACCCTTTAACTCTGGAGGAAAGGCGCATCTTGCATGGTCCAGCGCCCGAAGCAGCTTCTCAACAAACACTAAGGAGCTGGAGCTGCTCTGTTCTCACCCCCATCTTGTCTGTGGTAATCCCTTAGGACCCATCACAGGAAGGCCCGGCACTGACGTGTGTGGGGCCCTGCCTAGTGGGAACCCGTCCTCAAAACAGCTCAACAGACGCCACCTACATCTTACAGAGGTGGAGAGCACACAAAAGATTAGGCTGGGTGGAGAGGTGGCTGAGTGGTTAAGAACACTGGCTGCTCTTCTATAGGACCTGGGTTCAATTCCCAACGTACACACGGCTTCTCACAACCATCTGTAACTCCAGTCCTGGGGGATCTGACGTCCACTAGCTTCCTTGGACACTGGACACACAAGCAGTGCACAGGCATGCACACAGCGCAAAACATCTACACACACAAAATAAGAAGGGGGTGGGGTGGGATAGAGATGCCCTGTCGAGACAAGTTAGAACGCAAGGTAGCCTGAACTCACCACCACACCTGCACAGAGTGAAGGGAAGAGGCTCTACTTTGAAAGACAAAAAACAAAACAAAACAAAACAAAAAACCTTAATTTGAGGTAGACAAGGACTTCTTGGGTCACATGCTGTTGTAGTTTAAAGTCTGCAGTGCAGCCCTGGCATGCTGTCCTAGCTGGAGATCTAGTCACTCCCTGGAACAGCCCATGTACAACAGACACACATAAGAACCAGGGCCAGCAGAAAGGAAATCTTTTTCAAAGTCATCAATTCAAGTATTGCTTTATTTAAGAAAAAGAAATCTTATCATACCAGAAACAGGCAAGTGTTCCTTTAAACACAGAAACTGTATTCCTTTAAACTCATAGAAACTGGAGAGATGGCTCAGAGGTTAGAAACACTGGCTGTACTTCCAGAGGACCCCAGCTCAGTTTTCAGCACCCACATCAAGCAGATCATAGCCACGTGTAAGTCCAGTCCCAGGGGGTGTGACACCCTCCTCTGACCTCCACGGGCGCCCACACACACATGGCATACACTTATACAGACACACATACATGTAAATTAAAAAAATATATATCTCGAAGAACAAAGTCTCACGTTCTCCAACTGAGCTTATCCTGTCCCCAAGTGCCGAGGGACCGTCGTAGTAAAGCAGCAGTGTTACAGATAAAGCATAGAAAGATAGGATGACTTGCCCAAAGC